GTGGCGTCCTCCGGATGAGACGTAAAACTGAGGTCCTGATTCTCTGTGGTCATTAAAAATCCCAAGGTGTTTCTGGAAAAGAGTAGGGGTAGTACCCTGGCATCCTGGCCAAATTTCCCATTGACCTTTACCAATCATGGCTTCCTAATAATTCCCATCTATGAACTGGCTTCATCCCTCTATTCTCCTCCCCACTGATAGCTGATGTGTGGTGAGCATTCTGGCGCACTATGGCTGCCATCACATCATCCAGGTGGGGGCTGTACATTGGTGGTGGTGGAGGGGAGTCCCTATTACTATCACTATATAAGTGTAAGCAATTATTATTATTACTTGAAGAAAATCCATGAAAACCCGGGGAAAGCATGCAATCTCCATACAGACAGAGCAACAAACCTGGAGCTAAACTGACCCTGGACCTATGAAGCAACAATGCTACCTACTGTACTATTCCTTAAAAAGATGGAATAGAGACGGTTTACAAAAAGCCTATAAACATTTAGTTATTACATCTATTACTGTATATATTTACACTCAATAAATACAACCTTTGTCATAATGTACTCTATAATGCTGGACTCCCTAATGTTAAATTAAGAAAGAACATTTAGGACACTGGCTAATCAAAATGTGTGAGACTACCGTTTTATCCAACTTCTGCCTGGACCTCTGCCTGAAAACCTACTTTCCAAAAGCAAATGGCAAAAGTAGTACTTAGTGGCAGGTTTTTGTCTGAAATAAATGTTTTGCTTTTACCTAAGTAGCTTTTCCATCAGTCACTAAGTCTGGAGTTTGGCTTTGGTAGGTAGGGAGGGTTTTAATTTACTCTGAGTCTGGATAAAATCTAGAACTGAAGTTAAAGCAACTTTACTCACAATTGCAGTGTGTTCCTTTCTGAGTGAGGTTAGGCTCTAGAGCTATTTACTGAAGTTCCAAGACTAAAATGTCTATCTTTTATTTTATGTGGAAGTTCTTTTCTTGATATTACTATTGACTCTGATAATGCTATAAAGGGAAATAAAGTAGGTATTTTAAATAACCAACGAATGCATTACGTGTATTGTCATTCATTTCAAAATGTGTGACTTCCACAGAATTTGTTTTGTTTCAAATAAATGTTTTGATTCATTAATAAATGGGTTATTAATGAGAATCTTTGTGCATGAGTATGTAGTTAAATAAAAAGGCTATACAATACTGTATAGTAAACTTTTTGCACACCACAAAAAATGTTCAGTCTTATCTTAACTGTAAATTTACTGTAAGCTTGAGATTTTAATATTGATAATTCACTTGAGCTTAGCTCTACTTTTCATTACTGACACCCTCTAAGGCACAGACTTCATTGCTTTCCCGTAACACTATACAGTACAACAGTGTACTTCAGAAATTTGGAAGCATTTTTCCAAGATGTTTAAATTTGGAGACAGATCTATGATGATTAAATGTATTTAACTCCTGAACTAATGATTAAACATAATTTTACAAAGATAGCAAAAAGTGCTGCCTATCTAAAAACACTGACACTGAGTGAATTTCCGAGATTTTAAGGCTTGAGGAGATGCTATTTTGTGAGAGTGGGCAGAATATATTTGTAGGTTAATACATTACAAGATGTTGACGTGATATTAGATTCTTAAGTCAAGGTTTATGGCCCTAAGGAGCAGTGGAATTTGACAAACATTCACTATAAAACTATAAATACTTATAAATCCCTAAGCAGTTTAAAAAAGCAAATGCTGCACAATCAATGCTATCTTTTCTGTCTGCATACAGTTCAATTTCAATAAGAAAAAGTTTATTTCCTTTCTGTGTAATACTAAAGGTTTTCTGCAAACAAGTTTCCTAGTACTCAGATCGCAGCAGATAAAAGACCTTTCACCCACATTTTAATCACTTGATAATTGAAGTATCAGGTACACTAGTGCTTTAAACAATCAGTTTTTAAAAAGAAATGCTCAGTAAAACACAGAGAAAGAATTAGAATGACTTCTAATTTCACAAAGGCTTACAGTCAAGAGTGTTAAAAGCAAGTGTACCTCAATTAAAGTCAATTATGATTTAGTGTGATAAGATAAATGAGAAGCAGGATAATAATTTGAATAGTATTTAAAGAGTAACCTCTTGATTAACACAGTTGTACTTTTATTTTTAGGTTTAGTATTGATAACGGGATATGTCTGCTTTTAGTGACGTAAAATATCTAAAAATCAAGTAAAAAACAAACTATGATTAAACTTCCACCTAATGTAATTGAGTGAAATCCTAACTGCTAAGTAATCCTGCACTCCTGTGAAATGACTTTTACATGAAAAACAGATACTGTCAGATGATAGATGATAAGTTATGAACCAACATTCCCATCAGTAGTATGATGACTGAGAAAATGAGCCTCCCCCTGGTGGAAGTAAATAATAGAAGATAGACTATGACTTTCTATTGATAGATCACAAGGTCCTGTCCAAATTTCCACACTACCATGAAATTCCTAGTAGGGGAGAAATCACAAGCAGTCCTTTATTGCAGCCTTATACTATTAATGTATCACAATAGTATTAGAATCCCTTAGTGGCATGAATGAAATTATTCAGCTTTTGAACATATTTCCTAAAATGAAAAATCATATCGACACCTGGGAGTAGTATAACAGCATGTCATTTTTAACAGGGATTTTAAGGGATCTTGCCAATACAAAAAAAAAAAGAAATACAAAGCAGAGGAAAAACAGCACAGAGGACCAGCACACACCCCTTCCTGGTCTGTCAGCAACCCATAAACTTCGAGTAGGGGTGAAAAGTTTGCAGTGAGAGGGGTGAAAATGAAGCCTTTCATCTCTCCTTTGACTTAGGTTCTGTACTTTTACTAGCGGAGCATCTAAGTTTACCCAATACGTAAAATTTCCCGAGGTTTGGGTACAATTAAAACAGCTGTAAGCATAATGCTCTCTAGAAAAGACTAGTCCAATATAAATACAGTAATAACAACATGAAAACAGTATACAAAAAAAGCATGCTACAGTTTTTCAAGACTAATTATATAAATTAATCCAACCAATCGTTCATATGCAGATCACTGTATCTTCTCCTTGGTCAAAAATAAATCAAATAAGATTTTAATCTTAAAGTAGTACTGAACTGAGCAGATCAATCTGGTGCTTTGACCTTTTTCTTAATTTTTCTCAATGAAACAAATGGCATATGTAGCCAAGAAAGCACTGTTGCCTCTGCGCAACTTGAATGAAGGAAAAAATGTATCAATTCCAAAAACGGATTTGAAAATTGCAAAGACATTTCTGCTAAACCAGAATGAATTAAACAAAAACAGAACGTGAAAAGAAAAAACAGGTCTCGCATTCACACCAGAAACTTCAATCAAACACAACATATTTGCTGAGAACTTTTGGGCCAGGAGAGGGGCAGAGCAGTCTTGAAACCCGGACGGCGTTCACAGAATTTTATTCTTCGGTCTCTGAGCCATCTGTCAGACAGGGACTGTTAGGTACGCCATCATCACAGCAGTCCTCAGCATCCGAGAATGATGATACATAGTGGAGTCCAGTCACTCTTTGGTATCCATGCAGACAGGATTCGGGAAATACAGACAGCTCCAGACACTTATTCCCTGGCTGCTTAGTGGAAACATTCCACATCTCCACCAGGGGCGAGCACATGACACAGCCCATAATGACTGTTGGGGTTGGTGGTCAGCCGGTCAGTCCCAGAGCAAAACACTCCCGAGGCAGTGTTTCAAAAAACAGATTACCAGTTGAACTTTCACACTGATGAGGCCATTCCTCTTCTTGGTTAGCCACTGACTGTCTTTCCGGTTAAAGTAACAACCAAGGAATTGTCTCTTGTATTTCTTTTTTTGCCCACAGGAAAAGAGGGAGGTATTGGGCATAGAAGGGACACATTCATCTGGAATCCTCCTTTTTTTAGTTGCTTTCCCATGTGAGACTCAGCTAGAGGGCATCATTCTGTCAGCAGCAGAGCAAAACACAGCACTCTGCAATTTTCTTCACTCCTGCAGACAGCTGTCACACAGAACAGGCAGCTTCGGGAAAGGAGAAGGCATCTGTACTTTTTTTGGATTGCTGTTGTTGCCGATTCGTTCATCAAGTGAATATCTCTGGGTATCTATTTGTTTTGTTTTTAATAACAAAAGCCTCTTCATAAGTAAAAGAGAAAGAGAGAAGCCTTTTGGATTCTCTGGTGAATCTTTATATTCTCCTATGCATTATCTCATTGAATGATCTACACATGGTCTTCAACTGATGGGAATCAATAAGCAGGTTTTTGTGCAAAACATGACATTGAATTATGTTTTCTATTTTATAAATTCGATTACTAGGCAGGAAATTCTGTTGTTGTTTTTTTTTTTGTTCGGATAGATAAATAGGAGGAAAATCAAACTAGGTTAAGAACATTTCCGTTGTTTCATATATGACCTCATTTAGTCACTTAAATCTGCTGTTTAGGTTAGTTTCCACACGTATATGACATTTCATTTATTTAGTTACTTGCTGAAGTGTCTCAAATATGACACTTACATGTAGGAAATGATGCTCTTTCACACCACCAGCCATTACCTGAAAATTCAGTTTTTAGTTCACAAAACTGTAGGCTTGTGTCTCAAAATGTAATGGTTACATATTTTCATTCTAAATATCCTTAAAAATTCAACCCTGTTATTTGTAACAGAGGATTCCACTTAATAAGGTAATTTTCTTCTTGAAATTCCCAGATTTCCTAGAGTTTTTATGTCTTAATTTTGTTATATGGAATGAATGTTGTTTGTTTCTAACTGAAAGAAAAGTCCGAATTGGACAAATACTCTTTTAGTCCAGGTCTTCTCAGAAGTAGCTTAAGCCCAAAACTGTAGGTAGGTCCTGAATTCTGTGTAGGATACACCCACCAGCAATATGCACGGAAGATCAAAGATACTGTGAGGAAGTCTTCATCCTTGAAAATTCAATCTTCGATCACTCCGACTCATCCAAACGTCGTTTTTCATTCGGACAGCAGTCTCATCCAAAATCTGCCATCATCTCTTTTCAGTCAGGTCAATTACATCTTAGCAGACCCTGCCAAGACAAATAACAAGATGACAGCAACATGAGAGGCATACCGCTCGCCACGGTCAGGTGACTGATATCATCTGGCATCCGTCAAGAAAGGGAGAGGCGACGTCATTCAGGTTTCTGTTACACTTAGAGCCCAAGCTTGTAAAACAAGACCTCAAACTGACAGCAGAGTTCAGAGAGCTAGCATTGTAGAGAACAGCAGAAGACATAATACGTTTCTACTGCTTATATACAGTATAGTCAGTAGGTTTAACTCTGACACGCTAATGTTCTTACACTATTAGGACCCACTACAGGGGCCAGTCAAGTCCCATCATGTTTAAGGTGATTATTTATTAACACCAATACTCAGGTGACACCACAAGATCTTCTCAGTTCCCATACTTCTTGGAAGGCCACGCAGAATCAAATCTCATTGCAGGGTTTCACTGTAATGCTACACCCTGTTCACAAAGCTCATGAATGGGCGTTCGGTTTCATTGACTACCACTCAGGGAATGGAAAGCTGCACATTTTCCATTTCAAATTACTGCCTTTTTATCCTGAAAATTAAGCTCCAAGTGAGTGCGGCCGTTCAAAGTTTTGATTCATGAACCACCAGCTGTGCATGACATTCCTGCATTTCACAAGACTAGGTCATGGGGATTTAAAATGAAAACTACCGAGTCTGTTGCTCATGGTAGCTTATATATAGAAATCTTAGACAGGAAATTACTGCATACTGAATTTTTACATATTAAAGTTTTTGTTAACTTCCACCTTTTATCTGGAGTGCGGTTTTTGTATGCACTGTATATAGTGTATATGCACTGATACCTAACCGAATATTCCTTCTGCTTAATCCCCAAAGTCATATGCTACAGTGCTTTGCGTATAGTAGGAGGGGACTCATTTGATCCTCCTACACCCACCTGGGTGATGGGACCACCGTACTTTGCCATCACTTCAACACAGGCGGTCAGGTCAGGATAGGTGGACAAATTTGAAATTACTTTAATTCAAATCAAGGGGGTAATTTATGTGACCTAAAATGAGCAAGGCTAAAGTGGTATTTAGCCAGGACACCAGCATTAGCAGCCCTGCTCTTACAAAAGAGAGTCAAAGCAAGCATTCATAACCACCACAAGCAGTCAAAACTTTTCATCGAATCAGAAAGGAAGGAGCTGTCTGTAGCACAGTGCTCGCTGTCAAAATACACCTGTGGTGGTTTGGAATTTCTGGCGCAGAGTGCCAATTATTTTTCCATTGGCCCCAAATCTACTGTACCTGATTCGGTAAAAGAGTTATTATTATTATGTAACCCTTTCCAGAGTTCAGAGTTCAGTTTATTGTCATGTGCACAAGTGCAATGAAATGCTTATACACCCAGGACAGTTGATTCAGATCCAAATAGGATATAAAAGAACAAGTAATAGGTTTATTCCATGCTGAAAAGAGAAGAAAGAAAACACAACGTTTC